ATAAGTCTCTTATCAATTTTCTTTTACAAAGTATTATTTTTTTATTTCATTCCTTTAAATGTTATGAATTTTTTTATTTATTCCTACATTTTCAAGGATAATAATAAAAAATTTATATTAAAAGGGACCAGATAAAAAATTATATTATTTAAAGGAATTAAATTTTTTTTTTCAAGAGAGTTAATTAATAAAAAATATATTATAAAAAATTAAAAATATTACAAAAGTATTTTAGGATAAAATGATTAAGCCTATTCATATATATGTTACTCTTTAACATATGTCTTCCAACTTGTATGAATTGAATTCTTCACGTGAATCTCATCAAATCAATAAATATATATTTCATGACCAAAAAAAGTAATTTAAATATTTTAGTGTAATATACAAATAATAAGAATTTAAAAAATATATAATTAACTTGAATATAATGTTTTTACGTTGATTAATCCTATTTTATTTTTCACCAGTGAAAAGAGTAACGTTGAGTTAGTTGTAAAGAAAGATAAAAATTTCTACATGCTTGTTTATTAGTATACATGTATAAAAAATCCACTAATACATCAAAATCAAATCAATCAATAAAAATGTCATTTATATTAAGTTATCGAATATTAAACTGATATCCTCCGTTAAACAATGATATAATAACCTTTCTTTTTAAAATATTTAGAAATGATATATTTTTAATGAGTTTCGTTTATATGTGTGTGTGACTCCAAATTCAATCAGTGTAATCATGATCTTGTTCAATTAATGGGTGGGTAAGATGAGAAAAATATACAATAATTCGTCTATGATATGATTAGCTTAGAATAAGGCATTGCCAGCTGCAAGATAAAGGTTCTCCGATACTACTTTACACAGTTGACCCACAGAATCGGAACATTCTAGGAGAAAATTGCACAACATATTAATGAGAATGATCTAGGTATTTCCTCCCAGGAATTGAGCAGCTCAGAAAAATCCTGTTTGTTTACCCCATTCGACATTTTAGCCTGAGCAAAATGATGAAGTCACTAATGTTGCCTTGTTTTTTAAAAATATGGCTTCATGCCATATTTTGTTATAATTATTATTTAATTTATGTTAATAATGAAGAGCCAAATGAGAACTATAATAAGGTTATGCTGAAGTGAAATAGGTTGAGAACACTAACCTCTAGCTATTGCAAAGTTGGTTCGTGGTCACAATTCTAGTTTTTCAAACTCTCACTTATTCAAGCATGATGGTGTGTTTTGTTTTAAGGAGAGGAGCTCATTCGGTAACCTAAAACTATGAGAGTGCAAAATATTTATAAGACTCTACCTATCATAGAGTCCATTCCGAAAAACTAGTGAAAGTAACTTCCGCGTGGAACAAAAACGAATGTCGATAATGGGGTTATGTGGATCACATAATGTTTCTTGAAAATCAGAACTAGAAACAAAAATTGGTTGCTAACATTCTCCCACTTGATCCATTAATCCCATTATTAACCATAATAAGAAATTAAATATATGGATCATGGTGACAGTTCCTTTAATGATGAATATTATCTTCTATGTATCACAGTATATTGAGTTTCTCAATACTAACTCTCAACTTAATTAATAAATCACATGTTCATTCAAGGTCAAAACTAAATGATATTTCTCAAACAAATAAACGTGTGCACAAAACGAAAGAGAAAATATCAAATATGAGTAAAGTCTTATAAAAAAAAATAAAAGTACCCATAATGATTGTCACATCATGGAACCAAGTCCCATTTGTGCTACATGATCTTTAAAATTCTTTGGTAGCATGCCTTTAGTTAAAGGATCGACAATCATCAACTCAGTGCTAACATGCTTAATGACCACTTTCTTTTCCTTAACACATTCTCTTATAGCTAAATATTTGATGTTAATGTGTTTACTTCAACTTTCACTCTTGTTATTATTAGCCATAAATACTGGAGCAGAGTTGTCACAGTACACCTTCAATAGCCTAGATACAGAGTCCACAACTCTAAGCCCATATGTAAAACTCTTCAACCATACACCATGTGAGGTAGCTTCAAAACAAGAAACGAACTCAGCCTCTATAGTGGAAGTAGCAGTCAAGGTTTGCTTCACACTGCTTCAAGACACAGCTCCACAAGCTAGCATAAAAATGTAACTAGATGTAGATTTCTTGGTATCAATGCAGCCAACAAAGTCTAAGTCAGAGTAGCCTATCACTTCCAAAGCATCAGTCTATCTGTACATAAGCATGTAATCCTTTGTTCCTTGAAGATATCTCATTACTTTCTTTACAGCTTTCCAATGGTCAACACTTGGATTACTCTGATATTTTCCTAACATTCTAACTGCAAATGCAATGTCAGGTCTAGTATAAACCTAAGCATACATAAGATTTCCAATAGCTAAAGCATATGGAATATTTTTCATGTGTTCCTACTTAAGGTCATTTTTCGGACATTGACTCAATTCAAGCCTATCAACGTTCACAATGGGAGCTACACTTAGTGAACAATCTTTCATATTAAACCTCTCTAAAACCTTGTTAATATAGGTCTCTTGAGACAAACCCAAAATGCCTCGAGATCTTTCTCTATGGATCTTAATGCCTATTACATAAGATGCCTCACCCATATCTTTCATATCAAAGTTCTTTGAAAGAAATTGTTTCACTTCATATAACATACTTTTATCATTAACCGCAAGTAAAATATCATCCACGTATAAAACAAGGAACTAAATCTTACTCCCACTAACCTTCAGATATATACATTGATCAATGATATTTTCTTCAAAGCCAAATAAATATATTACTTCATGAAATTTTAGATACGATTGACGAGGGGTTTATTTTAATCTGTATATAGATTTATTAAGCTTGCAGACTAAATGCTCATTGTTACTAGAGAAGAATCTTTCAGGTTATTTTATGTAAACCTCTTCTTTTATATCACTATTGAGAAACGCTGTCTTCACATCCATTTGATATAACTTAAGGTCAAAATGAGCTACCAATGCCATAATCACTTGAAGAAAATCTTTTTTAGACACAGGAGAAAAAGTCTCCTTGTAATCAACTCCTTCCCTTTGAGTGAATCCTTTGGTGACAAGTCTTGTCTTATGTTTCTCAATGTTGCTTTGTGCGTATTTCTTGGTTTTAAAGACTCATCTACATCCAATGACTTTTACATCATCAGGAACTCAACAAGATTTCAGACTTTGTTAGATGCCATAAAATCCATCTCATCTTTCATGGCATTGTACCATAAATTTGATTCCTTAGAATTCATGGCTTGTGAAAATGTTTCAGGATCATTTTTGGCTCCTACGTTATAGTTAGATTCTTGTAAATACACCACACAGTCATTAGAAATTGCCAACTTTTTGACTATAGTAGACCTTTTTAATGTTGTCTCATTATTTTGGTGGGAACTTATTGTTCAACCACTTCCTTAACAGGTTAATCAACATTCACTTGTGGCTCTTTGTCAATAACTTGATTTACCAAATCATATTTAATAGCTTGTGGAACTTAGATAACTGGTTGTCTAATACGCTCTTTAACTAGAGAAACATGAATGACTACCAATCTATCATTTGAAGCAGAGGGTTTAGCTTTATAATGATCTGTTTCAAGAGTAGTGTCTTGAATCAGGTCACTCCTATTAATCAAATCATTTTCAAGAAACTTTGCATTTCTTGATTCCACAATTCTAGTGCTACGAGATAGACAATAGAACTTATACCCTTTAGACTTTTCAGCATATCCAATGAAATACTTACTAACAGTCCTAGGGTCAAGTTTCTTCTCTTGTGGGTTATAAATTCTTACTTTAGACGAATATTCCCAAACATGTATATGTTGCAAACCATGTTTCCAAACTTTGAATAGTTCAAAAGGTATCTTTGAGATAGCCTTAGTTGAAACTCTATTTCTTAAGTGCTTTAATCCACAAGAATTGAAAAAGCTTTGCATTGCTTCTCATGCTTCTCACCATGTCCATCAAATTTTGACTCATTCTTTTTGCCACACCATTCTGATTCGAAGAACTAGGCATAGTGTACTGGGCAACAATCTCATGTTCTTGAAAAATTTTTGCAAATAAACCAGGTGCTTGTCCATTCTCTGTGTATCTACTATAGTATCTCCACCTCTATTTGATCTCACAATCTTTATTTCACATTGCAGCTCTACTTTAGCCTTAAAAACTTTAGAGACATTCAAAGCTTCATTCTTAGAATGAAGCAAGTAGATATACATATATCATGAGTAATCATTTATGAAGGTAATAAAATATCTCGAATTACTTACGTCCATGTCTGGACAATAAATATCTATATGAATGATCTCTAACAGGTTTGAATTCCTTTTGGCACCAATTTTAGACTTGTTAGTTTGCTTAACCTTAATGCAATCCACACAAGTCTCAAAACCAATAAAGTTCAAAGTACTAAGTACTCCTTCATTTACAAATCACTTAATTCTTTCAATGGAGATGTGTCTCAATCTCTGATGCCACAACATAGAGGATTTCTTATTCACAACACATCGTTTTATCCCAGTAGTAACATGCATAGAATTATAAGCGGCATTATTTCGCAAAGTAATAGAATAAAGACCATCACATAGTTCATCAAAACCAACAATTTTAGATTTATTCAATAAAGTAAAACTAGTATCTGAAAAATTAAAAGAAAAACCTAAAAGCGCAAGTCTTGAAATTGAAATCAAATTCTTAGAAAAATCAGGAACATAAAATATTTTTTCTAAATTAAAAAAAAACTACTATTTAAAGTTAAAATGCACGTCCTAACTACCTCTACATGTGAACTTATCCTACTCTCTGAGTAAATGCATTGCTTACTTCCCACTGACCTCCTTAGGTTTTGCATAACTTGCAAGATACTACAAATATGGATTGTAGAACAAGAATCAATCCACCATGTGTTATAATTAATATCAACCATATAAGATTTATAACAAACAAAAGCAAATGGATTACCCTTCTTGTTTAGTCATGTCTTGAATTTCAAGCAGTCTTTCTTTATGTGTCCTTTCTTTTTACAAAAGAAACATTTTGGCTCCTTCTTTATGTCCGACTGAATCGAAATCTTTCCTTTGTGATTAACTTGATTCGTTTTACTCCTAGTAGAGGTAGTTAAGTTCACACTCTCCCCTTCTTCTATGAGTAACCTTTCCTCTTCTTGAGCACACATGGTCAACAATTCATTAATAGACCACTTATTCGTATCTGTGTTATAAGAGATCTTAAATGGGGCATATTGATGAGGCAAGGTACACAAAATATAGTGTACCAAGAAGGAATCAAATATGGTAACCTCTAAGGCTTTCAACTGAGCCACTATATCCCTTATGCATATGATGTGATCATGCACTTCTCTAATCCTAGTGAGCTTTATGGATGAAAATTGCATTATAAGTGTATTGGCAAGAGATTTATCAGAAGTAGTAAATTGCCCATTAATTGCCTTCAATAAATCCTTGACTTTATCATGTTGATAGATAGAACCCCGAATACCAGCAAAAATAATAATCTTTATGAAAGTCACCGAAAGACAATTAGACATCTTCCATTTTTCATAAAAATCAACTGCATCTGGAGTGCTGGTTGCGGTAATAGCTGATGGTTTGTCCTTCCTAATAGTATAATCAATGTCCATCCACCCCAAATTAAGAAGAACTCTCTCTTTCTAGACCCTATAGTTGTCACTCTTTAACTCAAGAATACCACATTTAATATCAGAAATACTTAGATTGAGAAACTTTCAAAATAAATATCATGTTTTACTAATGCAAACATACTTTAATTCATGAATCTAGTGACATAAAACTTGCCTGTGGGCTAAAGTCCTATTCAATTAGACTTATTACACATCTTTATGACAAAACTGTAAAATTATCTTTTTCTTAATCCCTGTGGGTAGATTAAGAAATATAATCCAATATTTTATCCTAATTAATCATACACATGCAATAAAATTTCTGTGAGTAGATTTCATCACATTATATATAATCAATTATAATTAATATTTTTCAATGTGATTTAAAAACTATATATATAATTTTTAATCAATCAAAGGTGTTGTGGCTACTTTCCAATTTATTTAAATTATACTCATCACCAAACATTAATTCTCTCCAAAGAGCCAAATGTTAGTATTAATATAAAATAAATTAGACATAAAAATTAATAATGTCATACTAAATAGTCACAAAGAAAGGATATATAAATTTCAGAAACATATACTTTACAAATATAAGGGTTTGGTTTAGTGGCTGTCATTGTAGTCCACTGCTATAGAGGTCTTGGGCTTGAGCCAATGGAGGACTGAAACTTACTTTTGGATTGATTAAGGGCGAAAAAACATTTGAATAAAATTTTTAAAGACAGGTTTCAAACCCGCGTCCTCCACGAAGGCCAGGGCATTGCTAACCATTAGGCCATGTGCCATTATCTATCGTTGTCTCACGTCCAAAAATATATGTTCATGTATTTGTAAACTCAGAAACCACACAAAAGCTATGCGGAAGCGAAACAGATTTAGAACACTAACCTCTGGCCATTGCAAGGTTGGTTCGTGGTCGTAGTTCTAGTTTTTCAAACCTTCACTCATTCAAGCACGATGGTGTGTTTTGTTCTAAGGAGAGAAGTGGATTTGGTGACCTAAAACCATGAGAGTGTAAAATATTTATAGAGCTCTACCCATCATAGAGCCCATTCCAAAAAAGTAGTAAAAGTAACCTCTGCCTGGAACAAAAACGGGTGCAGATAATAGGGTTATGTGGATCACGTAATATTCCTTAAAAATCAGAACTAGAAATAGAAATTGGTTGCTAACAATTTACACTAAAAAATATTTTTTTAAAAGGGTAATTTTTGAACATTTTGATTATCATATTGTGTTGACAAATAATTTGACCAAATTCACCTGATTCAACCCATTTCAACAAATGATTTGGCTATTCCCTAATGACACAAACTTTATTGAAATGCATTATGAAGTTCCGTCGAAATGAAAGCAAGTTCTTAGTAGAGAAAAGGTGATAATAGATATTCTCTTTAACAATGGGGTATTAAGGAAGGGAAAGAGAAAGAAACATTTGTAAATAAAAGAAAATTGAATTTTAACGAAGGATTGATTAATAAAGAGTAATAACACATAGGCATATATACATCATTAAATAATGGTAATAATGTTAATTTTAATGCTAAAGCCTATATTCAGCTTTTGAAAAAAATTTAAAAATTACAATTTATTTTTTAATCTTTCAAAAATAGAAAAAATTCATAGAGATACAAAAATAAATAACAGAATGCTTGAAATCAAGACATTTACTTGAGTCTAAGTCACTAAAAATATGTAACTTGAAATCTGAAGTTAAAGGAAAGAAAAGTCTCTTACTAGGAGAAACTTTGATAGGTAACTTGTAGATAAAAGCCAGTAGCATTTAATTACTTAACAAAATAAGAAAGATTGGGTCTAGTAGAAGTTAAATATGAAAATCTTCTGATCAACCTTCTACAAGATGAGATGTCAAATAAAAGAGAGTTAAGATTTGTAGAAATGATAATGTTAGAATTAATGGGAGTATTAACAGGCTTGACACCCAAGAAACCTACATTAGATAGAAGTTCAAGAGTGTACTTTCTTTGACTTAAGAATATACTGTTGGAGGCTTGAGGAAATTCAGGGTTAAGAAAAATACTTGAGCTCACCAAAGTCTTTGATCTTAAAATTTTCATTAAGAAAGTTTTCACATGTATTTCATCAAAATTATTCCATATTAGAACAACATCATCAACATACACCAATAAGACAATAATTTCACTTGATGTGTTTAATGAAGAAAGTATTATTTAAAAGACATTGTATAAAAATGAGAGATTGAAGAGTTTGGAAAGAGTATAAAACCATTGTCTATTGAGTTCTTTAAGCCCATATAAAGACTTTTTTAGCAAGCAAACTTGATTTGGATTAAGAGAAGCAAAACCTTGTGGGACTGTCATGTACACTTCTTCATCTAACTCGCCATGAAGAAAAGTATTGTCAACATCCAACTAATGTTTAGTAGAGGAGTCTAAGAATTGTCATTCTTGCAGCAAGGAAAAAAGTGTCCAAAAAATCAAGTCCTTCCACTTGTTTGTATCCTATTGAGAGATCTATTTGAGTTATATTTAAGTTTGTAAACCCATTTACAACTTGTAGGCATTTTTCCTTGTGGCACCTCAACAAGAATCTAGGTGTTACTCTTTCAAGAACAACAATTTCTTTCTTTATAGTAGGGAATATCTTTTTTGTAACCCATGTTCATAGATGACCTTTTACAATTGTGTCACTATTATTTAATGGTTCTATTTTTTTAGTAAATTCACCAAGTTTTATATGTATGAGACATATTGTGTAAGTCACATAAAACTTTAAGTATTTATATGTAAAATAAAAATTTTACATAAAGCTTTAAGTAAACATTTTTTATATGTAAAACAAAAATTTCATTCATAATAATGTTCATAACGCGAGCATATAAAATTAAAAGTCAATTAATTTTCTAGATAATGAATAACATCTTGAACTAATATAGGATCACATTTTAATTGCCTAGGTAGCTCTCCTCTATTTTCTAAAGCTGCTTTATTCAATGTGGAGTTTTGTCTTTGTGGGAACCTCTCGCTTTCATGATTTTTATCATACATGCTTGCAATGATAAGAATATACAATTTGACTTCATAGTTGAAAATGCTTCAAATGATTCCTCCAGAGCCTTTGTAAGTTCATCAATAGTTATGAGAGATTCTTTATACTGTAAGGACTGAATCGAATTAAAAAATCTATGATCTAAGACATTCAAATTGGAAAAGTTTTTCGATTGGTGCATTAAACAAATATCAAATCCATCTTGTGAAGATAATCGATAAAATTCTTCATCATCATAATCAATGTGTTTTCTTGCATTATCTTGTTGAATAAATATGGGATGACCCATCTCTTTTCTCAGTCATTTTGGTTGACAGGACTTTTTCAATCAATTAACTCCTTATAACTTCTTTTTTAACTGAAGTTATCAGTTTAGTCTCTAGTGTACCTGTAATTCTATTAACACTAGTCCTTTTATCTAGTTCTTGTGTGATGAAAGGAAATATACCGATTTTTTCAGAGAAGAGCTCATTCCTATTCACATCAAACCTTGGACGACCTATAGCAGCCAAAAACACCACTTTTACGATAAAGTTTTTGCTTTTACAACATCATAAAGGATCATCTTCATTTGGTAGTAGATAGTAGTTCTTACAACATTTTGTCATATAAAATCACTTCTCGTCGATTTGAACCACATTATACATTCCTAAGAAAATTGGATCATTTGGTATGTTAGAATTATCAAGCATTAATAAGCAAAATTGCAATCTATCTCTTTTATTCTCTTCATTCAAAGAAGGCTTTATAGCATTTGAATGTCTTTGTATGACTCTCGATGTTAAATGCCAACATAGTATGGTCTTGTTCGTATTCAATGCAGAAAGCAGGAGACTTGATAGTTGTCCTTCGATGCAAAGGGATCTCACGAATTCGAGCTAAATTAACCCTCTTACAGTCACAATTTCTTGTCTTTTTGTGGGACACATCAGTATGTGCACCCTTATTTTTGACTTGTTTCCAAACACGTTAAATAGTGTGTATAGAAATTGAAAACTGTGATGCCACCATTTTAGTGATTTCTTTTTTTAATTTTCCATTAACACTCTTCTCTAATAAAGCCTTATATATGATCTTTTCCTCAGAATTGCTCAAATATTTTTTCTTTGTAGGATCTCTATGAACTTGTAGTAAATCCAAACTTGCCATGTCATTGTTGACATTTTCTCCTAATAACATATAAGAAAAAAATTAAATTTATAAAAATTTTGAAGAAAAATATAATGATAATAATTAAAATTCATGAAGATACAAATCTCCACAATGAATTAAAAAAGTAAATGTCCATGTTAAAGAAAATTAGTAGTATAAAAATATTGAATGCAAATATGATTTAAGTAACAAAAAAAATTTGAATAAATTAATTAATACCATAATCCAAGTTCTGCTCTAATAATAGATGCAGTCCTATTTCCATATATGTATTAATCTCAGCATCATTCTCCAAAGATGGTTCTCTAGCTAAGTTCAATAATAGACAATCACTTAAAGAATATTCAAACGAAGCATCTGAAATTTTGTACAGGTCACTATCTATATCTGGTTGATTTAAATCAAATGCCATTTGAGTTGGACATGATGATGATTCTATATCTTATGATTCTATATCTTCTAGTTGATTCAAATCAAATGCCATTTGAGCTGGAGATTATGATAAGGGAGAACTTGGAATAATGTTAACGTCGATGTTAAGAATTGAATTTTTTGGTGCATTAATATTGTTTTTGGTAAATTGGTGCATCAATATTTAAACCTGAATATGTAAATTCAACATTCAAATCTAAATCAAGTAATGGTAATTTATGCTTTGAACCCATGCTGAAAGGAACAATGACTATTTTGATTTTGTGAACGTGGATGGCGAACAACAATATATAGTGGAGTTACCTAGTGTCACCTCTAAATTTTGACAAAAGCACAAATCCTTAAACAAATTTTAAATTAAAAATTTTTAGTGGCAAATA